TTTGAATTTCAATGCATGTCTTCGAGCTGAATTATTTTTCTTCGTGCTTCAAGAACGAATTTATCTGGCAAATTGGGCATAGGAAAAGTTTTAAATGTGAAAAATCTCAAACAAGCAATATTGATCAGGAGTTTCGGTCAATAGCAGTGGTTAGGGTTCGGGTTGGGCGTGAGGGCGACGGTTTCAATGAATTAGAGATGTTGGTAAGTTCTATTACATTGTGGTCGAGGTGCGTGAAATTTTGACTTATCAGCGGTTAGACATGCATTTTGATGGCTAATTGTTTTACCATAACATTTTTGAAATTTTACAATTAACAGAAATTTAATCTTTTTGATTTTAAAGTAAAAATATGACAAGAAAAACTTTCGATTTGTGAAATTGGGATAATGATTTTTTTTGTAATGAAAGTTATAAAATTAAATTTATAAAAAATTTATAAAGTTGAATTTCTATATTTTTTTAAATGTTTCAATGATTTTGCTTTAAACGAAACAATAGATTTGTTCAGTGAGCTGATGGGCAGCAATAATTGTTACCAATTTTTACTGAACCGCTTTCGGTGGAGTAAAAACTCCACTCAGAGAGCTCAATTTCTGCACCGTTACTTGCTAGTTCTCACTGACAGAGCTTATTAAATTGAAATAATTTTAATAATTAATTAATAAAAAAGAAATATTGGAACGTAAATTACATTCTTTTTTTCTTTCAAATAACCTTAAAAATATCTTAGGGAAATGTACGCGTAGCACCTGGCGTCCGTGCGCGCAGCCTGCAGATGAAAGGCTATTCCGAAGTGTTTGTTGATTCGATGGAATATCCCGAACAGGCTGCCGAAGGTAGTGCTTTGGCAATTTGGCGCTATCAGGATAATAAAATGAAACTGGAGTTATCCTATTCGCCCTACATTGATGCGTGGACGCGTGGTCTGTTCAAAGCAGAAGCGCAAAATCTTGCGCGTCGTCTGAGTGGTGCATAGATTCTATGTGTGTGTTGCATCATTCAGACGACGCGCAAAATTTTGTTCACACACATCACATTTGTATATTTAAACGCATATACATAAATGTACGCAAGTGGCTACATACACATATATACACAAGTATATCAATATATGTATTTGAATTCTAGTTACAAAGTTAAATTAAACTAAAATAATTGGTAATAATCTAAATATCTAAAAAAAATGAGATAAACCTTTTTTTTGACCTTTTCGTTTGGAAAATTGTAGTCCTGAAAAGGACCGTTTCTATTCTTGTGTATTATATTATTACGATTTAGCTAAATCAACCTCGATGATTTTCTGAATCCTTCGGGTACGATCTCTGGATTGTTAAATAAAACTCGCCAACTTAATTTNCGGGAAACGGAAGTCTGGCGGGGATCACCGGGAACTCCAGCCAAATAAAAAGCTCTCATCAACGCAAAATTGAATATGAAATAGCACGTACGAGTAAAAGAATTTTTTGTGAAACAATAAGCAAAAATACGACAAATTCATAAACTAGAAATTTTACGAAGTTTCACAGAATGAGGGAAAAGGATAAACCGTTCAGAAGAATACTCAATAAAATAGTATCGACGATAGTCCACAGATAGAACATTAAGAAAGAAAACCGTTTTTTTGCGCAAACGAAGGTAGGAGGAATAGAAGCTTTGGAGCTATGAGATTTTGGCGCAAAAGTATGCTGCCTAGAAAAGAACGCAGATAAATTTCTTACAAAATAATTAAAGCAAGGTAGTTAAAGTAAAAAATTAAAATATAAGAACAGCGAACAGGGCAGAAGCTCCAGTGACAGGAGTCATTAGCTGCCAGTTTTGTGGGTTGGCCTGACACGGGAACTAATAGTACCAGGATTATAACAGGAGGTATATTTAGGCATTTAATTTTGGACATAATTTAAAATAACAGTTGTTGGTAGGAGAGCACGACCAGATAATACTGTCGTTTCAGAGCTCGCACCCGCTGAATGCGACTTAGCCTTTGACTCGAAGCAACATACACTGACACATAGATAAAATGTTACAATAGAGAAGGTGAAAACACAATTTCCTTCACTTGCAGTGTTGGGGTCTTCCTATATTTTCATACATTTATCACAATAGTACAATGTTCCTTAGAAATTATTTTGTTCCATAGAAAATTTATTAAATTAAAATTTCTTTAATATCTGCCTAGAATTATTGCATATGAGCATTACATTTTCACTTTTGAGTCTAATGAGGATACATAATGAATTAAATATTATGTACGTATATATATATATATATGTGTATATAAACACACTATACCCTTAAGGTTGCATCACTGACAACATCGAAATATTAAAAAAAAAATTAAAGAACAATTTCTTAGCAAAAGTCTAACATTACTTATTTATTTCATGAATAATTTGATGTGCTCATGATAATAAATTTAACTTTAAATGACAATCTTTGAGTTTTCTGGGAACAAAGTTTGGACGAAAATCCGTACTTTTTGATAAATATTAATTATTGTGAAATTATTGTGATTACAAGTTAGGAAAAAACACTTAAGCTAGCAATTGACATAAGAAATTGTTTGATTTAGTTAATACAAGAAATTTAATAAATTAAATGAAGTTGGAAGTTTGTCAATGTTAAAATTTTTCACTCATCTTTCCACATCGCTTCTCAATTTTTAAAGACATGAAACATTTGACATCAAACTCTTCAAAATTTCAAACCAATATTAATTGTTTTCAATACTTAAAGTGTATATTTAATAGAAATAAATTGTGCATTTATTTTTGAATCAACAAAGTGAAAATGTCTGACACCGCTGCTTTTGCCAATGATAGCTCTCCGATGGCCGCTGGAGCTACTGCGGTTGCTGGTAAAAAAGTCGTTGCAAAAAAGGCAACTAAGCCGAAAAAATATCGGGTGCCCCAACCCATACACCAACTTAAGAAATGTTTAATGCTTCAATTAAGAATTTAAAAGAACCTGCCGGCTCATCACCTTTAGATATGAAGAAGTATATTAGTGCTACATACAAATGCGAAGACCAAAAATTGGCACCATTTATAAAACGGCTGTTACTAACAGAAAATTGATTCAAACCAAAGGAAAGGATGCAAGTGGATCATTTAAATTATCAGCTGCTGTTCTAAATCAAGAGAAGATAAATCAAAGCCAAAATCGAAAAAATCTGCAGAAAAAGCCAAAACCAAAAAGAAGTCTGCCGATGGAAAATATTCATATTATTGCTTCAGTTTCATAAAAAATTTCTAATATTATTATGCATTTAATATATAATAATTAAAATTATAATTTGTGGCCCTGAAAAGGGCCTTAGCCACTTCACTAACGCCATGTTTGGCCAATTCACCGGGCAAAAGTCGTTTGTATATGTTTACGCGAGGAGCGTAAATCCTTGCATAACTTTGGTATATATGTAAATAGTTCAAATCTGAGTGTGAATTATTTGAATGAAATCGGTCAGCAGAAAGCAAGCAAGAACAAACAGCAAAGATAGTTTGTCAACACGCAAAACAAAAATTACTTAAATTAAGCGGCAAATTCCATCAAATTGAACCAAAAGTAAGATTACTAAGAACCAGTTTCTGCATGTTAAGATAAACGACAGGCTACCAACAACAAATCCCATGGTTTTTGTTGCACAGGCAAAGGAAATCTATCGAAAATTGCTGTGCATGATTTTCGGTTTTGGAACGGGTTGCAGTAAATCGAGACATAGTTCTAAAAACGGATGAAAAGGAAAGCATGTCTTAGACTAATTTGATGGTAGACGGACCTATTTCGCCATTGGTCGAGTAATAATTCAATCCTCCATTTGGACAATTACTACTCGAATTCGTTTATCGTTTCCTTGTTGAACATGCCGATCCGTTCAAGTTGACATTCGTTTGGAGCTAAATTGTCATCTCGTACCACGTTCAGACCATCTACTTCCATATTTCGCTCCTGATGCTTCCATTTAGTCCTTTTTTGAAGATCCTTCAGGTACTCTTTCTTCCACTGCATGCAGAAGAAGTGATACAGGGCTTTCATCTTTTGCCATCGATTGACAATAGAAGACGGGTTTTCAGATATCTGGATTACCGGTGGAGCCAGAATGTGAGTTCCAACGAGAAAGTGTCTTGAGAGTGGACTGAGTGTTCAAGAGTTGACACATGAGGAAAACTCCTGGAAGATCCGCCCATATATGGTGCAGAAGCTGGAATGAAATAGATGAAAGTTCCTGATAAAAGTATTTTGATACAACTGCTTTCAGAGAATTCTTCGAACTCAGTTTCTAAAGCTCTAGAAGCTCAGGCAAAATTCGTCCATTTTCGGAGTGGATATTTTTGGGACACACCCTACGTGCTATAATCCTTCAATGTTTTGTTTCATAAATTCATTTGTTTGTTTAGGTTTGTCCAAAATTAAATTTACACATGTGTTAAAATGAGATAGAAATATCTGAGTAACACAATGGAATGGATGAATTTTTGTATAAATGCACGTGTCAAAGCGATATTGAAGCATAGTGAACTGAAATATGTTGTTATTTAGTGGGAAAAATATAAGCAATGTGAAAAAATTACTGGCCGCGCCAAAGGTGGAAAAGGTTTGGGTAAACGTGGTGCTAAGCGCCATCGCAAAGTGTTACGTCATTACATCCAAGGTATCACAAAGCCAGCTATTCGTCGTTTAACTCGCCGTTATATCGTAAAACGTATATCTGGATTGATATAAGAAGAAACTCGTGGTGTTTTAAAAGCGTTTTAGGGGAATGTTGCTCGTTAACACAGCAATGGATTTTTTATATACTTTAAAGAGACAAGGACCTACTTTATATGGTTTCGGCGGTTAAACAATTTCCTTTATTTTTTTCAACCATAATAT